ACTCCTGTGGTGCTCTCCCACTTGAAAATGTCGCCAGCAAATACCCTTGGGTTTTTTGTTTGTTTGTTTGTTTGGTGGAGCCTAAAATTAACTGTATTTCATCTAAGAATAAACAATCACTTCAAGAATAATAGCTGGGGCAACTGGGGCGGGGGGAGGGGAAGAATACCTAAAATACACACATTAAACAAATTAAAACAATAAACAGAAAATTAAAATAGGATGTTTAGCAAAAGAAAAAATAGAGGAAAAAGAATTATTCAATAAAATCAGCTACCACTCATCCCTCCCCACAGCTGTTTCATGATTTCCTATGAACATATAATGAAGAAATACTGGAGGAAATTAACCATACATAACTCTGATGATCTCACATAATTTCTTCCCATCAAACTGTGATTAGAGAGTACTTGTGAGATTCATAGCCCAAATTGCACATTAGAACTGTCAATGAGCACAGCTCAGCAACCTTCCTCCTCTGCCGCCTTATATCACCTTGGTGTGTTCTTTCTCTGGTCATATTGGAGAAACATATTTTTGATGTCCAGATTGGTCCAAAGTGTTTCAGGCCATGCTGTTTCATTCCAGAACCTAATTAGGCCAATCCAAAATGCCTACTATTTGTTATAAATGAGTCAAAACCAGCCTGAACCCTTCTCTTATTTGGGAACTGGGAGAATTGTTTGTATAAACACAATGTATAGTTCATATTTTAATAACATCCTTTTTTTTTCTTGTGTGCCAGTATCATCATCAGAACCTGTGTATCAAATTAAGAAGGCTGTAGAGGATGCTGTAGGAAGGAGAGGGGATGGACAATGATTTTTACCAATTTATTTGATGTATCATATCTGGATCACATCATGCTGGATATCAAATATAAGATATTTAGTACTGCTATGAATGCACAAATATTGATATGAAAACATCAGAAGATGACCACAAGACTTAAGCAAGACAGAGTCATTCTGAATGAAAAGTATCCCCAGCCAAATAATTTTTTTAGAAGCTTCAGAGTTATTAAGCTGCTAGGAATCTGAAGGAAAAGCAAATCATGCATTTATACACCTTTTTGTCCCCAGCATCATCTAATTGGTACCATATATGAAAAACAATTACAATTTGAAATGTAAGAGAAAAGTTTAACATTAATAGTTTTTATTTAGTGCTTGCTTTTCTGGTTCCATTCTGGTTTCATGAGTGCTGCTTAATGATTAGCTAAAGTATATCTAGTATACTCCTCTGATCTGCAATTATTGTATGTTGTATGTTGTTGCCAGGCCAATTTTTCAAAACTGCTGTGGATGGGCACGTGCATGTTTACTCCCATGCTAGACTGTCAGCTAGAATAATGTCATCTGTCTAGTATGTTGTTTTCAATAACATCCTAGAGTCCATTCTTCAACATGTAAGAAATCAGTTTCCCCTACAATATCCTCCCTCAAATACCTGTCCAATAGATTAAGTGAGCAGCTTTTGTGGATTGAGTGATCATTATTTTTCCTCTATGGCACTCTGAGGGGGACATTTTTGTTGTGTGCTTTCAACTTGTTTCTGACTTATTATGAATCTGAGGCAAAAGTATCATGGTATTATCTTGTCAAGATTTGTTCATGCCTTTGCCTTCCTGTGAGGGTGAGATAGTGTTGCCCAAGATCCCCCAATGAATTTCCATGGTTAAGTAGAGAAGCCTGGTCTCCAGAGATGTAATCCAATGCTCAATCCACTATATCATGCTGGTTCTCAAGGTGTACACAATGATGAAAAATGTGGTGGTGGTGGGGGGAATGAAAGTGGAGGAGAAATAGTGGGAAACTGGAACTTCTAATTTTGCAAAGCAGGAGTTTTTAATGTTAAAGAGAGCAGAAGGGCTGCCAATTAAATCTTGATGTAGTGGTATGAATGTTGGACTATGACTCTGGAGACCAGGATGAGATTTCCACTTGGCCACAAAAACCACTGGGTGACCTAGGACAAGTCACATGTTCTCAGCCTCAGAAGAAGGCAATGGCAAACATCCTCTGAACAAATCTTGCCAAGAAAACCTCATAATAGTTTCATTTTAAGGTTACCATAAGTTGGAAATGACTTGAGGGCACATAACACATAATACACAGGCTTAGTACTGAATATCAAGATAACAATAACAATACCAATAATTAACAAAAATAATGACCATGGAAGAACTACATGAATTCATCCTAGATAATTAAATACTAGAAACAGTCAGAGAATTCCCATACCTTGAGTCAAACACTGATGAATGTGGAGACTGCAGTGAAGAAATAAAAGAATACTATGACTGAGAAGTGCAGTTATGAAGGAACTAAATATGATACTAAAGTGCAAAGACATAACACTGAATACTAAATTAAGGATTGTCCAAGCCATTGTATTTCCTATCACCATGTATGTATGTGAAAGCTGGACAGTAGAAAAAGCAAATAGGTAGAAAATCAATACATTTGAGATGTGGCACTGAAGAAGAGTGCTGAGGATAGCATGGATGGCCAAGGAGACAAATAAATAGATTCTAAAATATATCAATCCCAAACTTTCCCTGGAATGCAAGATGACTAAAGTTTAGGTTTACTTTGGACACACTATGAGAAGGAAAAACTCATTAGAAAAGGCAATGATGCTAGGAAAAGTAGAAGGCAGCAGAAAGAGAGAAAAGCCTGAGCCTACATGACCTGAGTAGAGATGTAGAGATCAGGAAGTCTTGTAGATGATCACAATGTGTCAGACTTGAGCAATTTGTGTATCAAAGAGTCCAATGCATTGAAACAGCAAAAGACTATTGAGAACACATAGTCAGAAATTCACCAGTCAGCATTTAAGCCAGAACTACCCCCTCAAAGCCAAACGATATCTTAAAACCCCAAAACTTTTAAACTCCTCCCAACACCCTTGGTGCCAAATCTAGCACGCAATTCTAATTCCCATAGTCTATTTCCCCCATCAAGCCATCCCCCCTTTCCAAACCTTCTCACCAACCCTATCTCTCTCCAACTCAGGCATTTCCACCCTTTACCCCTCCTTTCAGTTATTGCCAGACACCATCTCACAGCTTACACATTCTAAAGGCCCATCCTTCTCAAAACTATCCTAGCCAGCTGCCACTATTTCTAATCTCCCATACTAACTAACCTATTTGCTATTGCTACTAGTTTACCCACAATCCCCTACCAATATATATTAACTACAATATTCAAATCAAGAACAATAAAACCTGACAGAATTCATGCATGCAGGTATAGTTCTGAGTCAAAGGGGGGAAGCAGACGGGCGGCACGGGACCGCCCTGGGAAGCTATGGATCAGGGCCGAGGTATCCGCACTCCTTGGCCCCAATGCACCATGTCCCAGTCCCAGGAGGGAGCGCTAAAATAGCGCTCTTTCCACAAGACGCTGAAGGTGCGCCGCAAAAGGCCTCCGGCGCACCTTCGGCACCTCTTCCGCTGCAGCGCGTGTGGACGCTGCAGCAGAAGTGCGTCATGGGAGCTCCAGCCATGCGGAGCAACGGGCACTCTGACAACGTATTGGACAAGTGGTTAGGGCACCCAGCATGAGGCTGCCCCTCCCCTTCCAGGCCTCAAAAACGGGGCTTTGTGCCATCTGTTTAGGCCCAAAGTTGACTCAAGGGCAGCTAACAACAACAACAACATTGTTCCTTGAGGCTTCTAGAAGAAGCAGTTTACCCTTTCTGAATGAAGGGAGGCTCTGAAACTAGCACAAGCAGGTGTATGTGGCTGGAGGACCACACTTTGCTCGCCACTACAACAGAGCCACTGGTAGAAGCATTTATTGAATTCAGCCTGCCTCTATCAGGAAAATAAATGACAGCAATCCAGATAACTACCTTATTTAAATGCCTACCAATATTTACATATGAAATAGCCAGCTCTTTCCAACTCTTTGCTGCTGCTTTCACACTGACTTCATTCAGCATTGAATGTGAGATTGTTTAATGCTAGCCAAAACATTTTGCTCAAATTGGAGATTAATGGCTACCTGAATAATTCCAACCCCAACAGAAAGTTTGGCCCAGTCTTTTGTTTAAGAAACCATTTAAAAAAATTCTTTTGTGTCTGTAATTCCACAATTTCACTTCTATAATTATTGCAGTCTACATTCATATCTGAAGCATCCATGCATAACACTGGGGAAAGTAGTCATTAAAATGACTCTCCCTTCAGCCTGCATTAGTATCCTAGAGCAAACATTGATAACACAGAAAGACAATCATAATCAGAAGGCATGCTGCAGTGACTTCAGAGTTTCTTTTTTATAACATAGCTCATGAAAGAAAAGAAAAGTTCTTGAGAGAGAGCCAACAGGTACAGCAGGCAAAGCTCATGATGAGGTCTGATGCTCTCAGCTGCCATGGAAAATTCAAGCAGCAAACAAGGGTTTTTTTAGTGCCCACTATGCTATCTATGAGAGATGGTCCTACCATTTGGCAGAATGAAATAGCTGTCTCAAGTGGCAAATGCAAAGGGCTGTAAAGCATGTGACCTGGACTGCACTTGCAAAAAAATTCCTTGGTGAAACTCAGACTCATTACCCACTCAACAGCTATGCAAGTCTTGTCCAGTGGATGGGTGGTGGTACCATTTTCTCCTTCCTTCACTCAGGATATCTTACAGTGTCCCTGTTTCTTTAATGATCTCAAGCAGCAGTTCAGATAGGCTAGGACCTATGTAAGTCAACTGAAAATGAGAGGTATAACATGAATGTTTGTTGTTGTGTGCCTTTAAGTTGATTCTGACTTATGGAGACCCTAAGGCAGGGGTAGGCAATCTTTCCCCTTTAAGGGCCGATGGACTTCAGCTCCCAGAAGCCTCAGCCATGTTGGCCAATAGTCCCATGTTGGCCAATAGCTCCTGGGATTCTGGGAGCTGAACCCATTGTGGGGATTTTCTTGACAGGCTTCTTCAGAAGGGTTTTGCCATTGCCATCTTCTAAGACTGAGAGACAAGCTCACCCAGTGGGTTTCTATGGCCAAGCCAAGATTTGAACCCTGGTCTTCAGAGTCATAGTGCAATGCTCAAACCACTAAACCACACAGGCTCTGAGTGTCCAGCCCTAAATATGTGCTACAGCATAAGCCTCACTTAACATAATGGAATTTAATTCTGAAAAAGCATGCATTGGATTAAATTGTGAGACAGGACCTAGAAAATTACTTTTATGAAGAATGAGTTTAATGTCCCATTCTTGGAAAAGGACAGCATATAAACTAATTAAATAAATTAAATTCTGACTGAGCAGTAGTAGGAAAATGCTCTTGGTCCCAGAAACTTGTCTTGGTGGAGTTGGGCTGGGGCAACAGCACACCAGCCACCCCGACTCTGCCCTGACTCAGTCCTTAGGCTGCATGCCCATCCACACAGCGTGTGGCATTGGGATGCCCTGTTGCCAGAGCATATGCACACACTGCACCAAAGGGGTGCAAAAGAGCCACAGTAGTGGCTCTAAGGGTGGACTTTTGCCACCCCTGAAAGGAGTGGCATTTTGCTGCTCTTTTGGGGAGAGCAAAAAGGAAGATTGAGGCCATGGCATGTGGTTGCTGCAGCCCTGATCCACCACTCCCAGGAGTGGCCCAGAGCCACCCCTTCTTGGCCATCTGCATCGGCCCTAAGTCTTTATTATATGAACTTTATTCTTAGATAGGAAAGTTACTGAGGGAGCTTTTCTAATCTAGCTACATCTCTAGCAAGGTCTGGGAGAAGATATAGGATGAGAAGGAGCAGAAGTTTTTCTGAGAGTATCAGTTTACATCACAGAGGGGTCAGGATAGGTAGACAAAGAGGGAAGTCATTGCAGGTCACTCAAACTATCTAACCCTATCACTACTGCTTAATACAGGGGTAGGCAATCTTTCCCCTTTAAGGGCTGAGGGACTTCACCTCCCAGAATTCCAGGAGCTACTGGCCAACATGGGACTATTGGCCAACATGGCTGAGGCTTTTGGGAACTGAAGTCCCTCAGCCATTAAAGGGGAAAGGTTGCCTACCCTTGGCTTAATCTGAGAGTATAGAGCATTGTTGCATTTCCAACACCCCTTCTCAATGACACATGCACAAGTCCACAAAATTAATCTTCTCTTGTAGAGCTTGGTAACAGTCTTTGGTCAATGGCTTGGTAAGGGCATCTGTAATTATTTCTTCTGTTGGACAATATTCACATTTGATAAGTCCTTCTTCGTGTGCATCCTTTATGAAGTGATACTTGGCTTAATCTGATGACTTATCTTTTCTGTCTGAGAGATCTTTATGCATGGTTGGTTGTCTTCATATATCTCTATTGGAGTTGGCACTTCTATTTCAAAGTCTAACAGCAACATGTGTAGCCACTTCAGTTGTTTATATGTTTCTGGGGCTGAGACATATTTAGCTTCTGTAGAGGAAGCTGCAGCTGTCTTCTGCTTCTGTGTTGTCCAGTCAATCATTCCATTTCCATAGAAGAATAAGTATTTGCTTGTAGATTTTCAATCCATTATATCATTGGCCCAATTTGCATCTGCATATCCAGTCAGTTTAGGATTGCTGGTTGCTTGCAGTCGAAGTTTTAGATGTGCAGTTCCTTTCAAGTATTTGGCTATTCTCTTTATTGCATTCCAATCACACTCAGGGGTGTTGCAGACCGACCTAAAGGGACAGCCTGGGAGTGCAGTTGGGGCAGGGCAGCCGCATGCCAGCTGCCCTAACCCCACCCGATGTTTTCCTGATGCTGCGTGCCCATTTGCATGGCATGTGGCATCAGGATGCCCTCCCGTCACAGTGTGTAGACATGCCGTGCAAAAAGGGAAGAAGAGCCACTGTGCCAGCTCTTAGGGAGGCCTTTTGCTGCCTCTAAAAGGAGCAGAATTTTGCCGCTCTTTTAGGGGTGGCAAAAGGAAGGATTAGGGCAGTGGTGTGGGGTTGCCGTGGCCTCAATCTACTGCTAGCAGGGGTGGCCCAGTGCCACCCGTCTGCATAGACCTTTAGTTGGTGAGTTAGTTCTCCTGCACATAGTTCCAACAGCTGCTGATATATCTGGTCTTGTCATTTTGCTCATGTACAAAAGCTTTCCAATGGCTTTTCTGTAATGGCTGTTTTTGGTAATGCTTTACTTTCCTTGCCCTAAGCAGACTGCCAGAAATAGTGCACATTAAATTGAGGCACTGTCCTGGCTTAGTGCTAGGGAATCATGGGAACTGTAATTTATTGTGGCACCAGAGCTCTCTGACAGAGAAGGCTCAGTGTCTCAGAAAAAAATACAATTCCCATGATTCCCTAGCACTGAGCCAGGGCAGTGCCTCAATTTAATGTGCACTATTTCTGGCAGTTTGCTTCCAGTAGCTGGTCTCCATAGGAGTGCTAACTGGATTTGCCTCTGTTAATCCAAGATGCTTCAGTAGTCCTACTATCTTTTGCTTTTGGTTAGGAAGGTAACTTCCATCTTCTTCTTGTTCAATCTCTATTCCAAGATACTATGAGATGTCTCCTAGTCATTTCACTTTTACTTCCTTATGTAAATCATCTATGATTTCATTACTGTCTTCTCTTTCCTCACAACAAATGATCAAGTAATCAACATAGGTCAAGATAAATGTTCACTTATTGTCTTTGTATCTTGAGTAGAGGCATCTATCAACCTTTCATTGGCTAAACCCCTTCTCAAGGTGCATCTTATTCAATTTTTTGTTTCATGTTCTGGCTGCTTGTTTTCATCTATAAATGCTCTTCTGAAGTTTGCATACAAGATGTTTATTGTTTTTGTCTTCAAAGCTTGGAGGTTGCTCCATATAAATGTGTTCAGATATTTCTCCATGAAGAAACAGTTTTTATCTCCAGATGTTCAACATACATTTTTCTTGCTGCTGCAATACTTAAGTGTGTTCTTATAATAATGTGTTGTACAACTGATGAAAAAGTCTGATCATAATCTACCTGAAAAACTTGTAAGTATCCCTTGGCAACTAGTCTAGCTTTGTATCTCTGAATTTCTCCATGTTCATCATGTTTGATCTTGAAGACCCAATTGCATCCATCAACATTCTTTCTTTGTAGAAGTTCTGTAAGTGTCCAAGTCTTGTTCTTATGCAGAGACTCAATTTCCTCTGCTGCAGTTTCTTTTCATTTGTTTCCTCCATTTGCTGGCATCTTTTTTAATTCATTCCATGACGATGGCTCAGATATTTCATCTGATGTTGCAAGGTAGGAAAGATGACTGGGTGGCTTTCCTTTGGTAGGCCTCTCTGATTGTCTGACTTGTACTTCTGCATCCCCTTCTTGTGAGGTGCTTCTACTGGCTCATCAGGAATCCATAATGTCACACTGGGTTCCTCTTCAGCTTTATCAGCAGGAGGTTGAGTTGATATTTGGCCATCCAGCACTTCTTCTATGCCTGGCTTCTCACTCTCATTAAAGTACACTGCTTTGGCTATTATAACCTTCTCACTGTTTGGGCATAGAATTCTGTAGCCTTTACAGCCTGGTGCATATCCTGCGAATATGCCTACTTCTGTTCTATTGTCAAGTTTGTTTCTTTTCTCTGTTGGGATAAATGTTAAAACTTTGCATCTGAAAACTCTGAAGTGGCCCACACTTGGCTTCTGGCCATTGGTTCTTCTGGCTTTAGTTGGTAGTTTATTTTGCAGGTACGTTGTAGTTGCAACTGCTTCTCCCCAAAGTCTTGCTGGTAATCTTGCAACTAGAAGCATGCACCTTGCCATTTCCATTAGAGTGTGATTCTTGCATTCTGAAACTCCATTTTGTTCAGGAAAATAAGGAGCAGTTCTTTGATGCTCAATTATTTTCTCTCTTAAGAATTGTTCTATCAAATGTCCTGTGAATTTACCTCCATTGTCCTTTAGGAGAATTTGTGTTTTTTTGTTTAATTTATTACTGACAGTTGCCACATATTCTAGCAACTTCAAATAAACTTCACTCTTTTCTTTAATGAAGTAGGTAGTTGTATATCTACTGTAATCATCAATAAAGGTCAGTAGATATCTGTATCCACTAATAATCTCCACTTTCATTGGACCAGAAATATCAGAATGAATCAACTGTAGAGGGCACTGTATCAGTCCCTCATTTTGCTTGGGTAGAGACAGTCTAGTTCCTTTTGCTTTTAGACAGCAAACACTCCTGCCTTCATCACAGCAAACTTTCCTCTGAAAATCTTTAGTTAAACTTCCTTTTACAAGTTCAGTTATAAAACAGCTATGACCCATTCTTTGATGCCAAAGTTTAGAGCAGTTCTCATGTTTGTATTGTTTGGCTACCTTTGCAAATTGTGGATATTCACCTTGGCAATCAATACTATAAAGGTCTTTCTGTAAGGTTGTGGCAAACATCACAGGTTTTCCATTGTAAGACACAATACAATCAGTCCCTTTAAAATACATTTCACAGCCTTTTCTTGTCAGTCCTTTAACTGACAAATTGGATCCCAAATTGGATCCCAAATCTGGTTCATACAGAACATCACTGAAGGTGATTTTTGTTATGCCTAATGCAGTTCTACATGACAAAACAATGATTCCAATGCCTTGAGAGTGAAGCCTTATTCTACCAATTCTATGAACACTTTTGTTTCTCATTCTCATTCAAATCTTTGAAGAATGATTTACATTGTACCATATGATTTGTGGCTCCCGAGTTAAGATTGAATATACTATTATAGCCATCTGAAGTAGTTGCTCGCAGAGCCAATTGTTCAAAACTTTCTTTAAAATCACAGTCATGCAATTCATCAGTCTGCCTCACAGTGGCTCTAGCACAGGGGTAGGCAACCTTTCCCCTTTAAGGGCCAAGGGACTTCAGCTCCCAGAAGCCTCAGCCATGTTGGCCAATAGTCCCATGTTGGCCAATAGCTCCTGGGATTCTGGGAGCTGAAGTCCCTCGGCCCTTAAAGGGGAAAGGTTGCCTACCCCTGCTCTAGCATGTCTTGGCTGCCTGCCTTGCATTCCATACATTCCTCTGCCTCTTTGTCTGAATCCCTTATTTTTAGGACAGTTGGCTCTCAGATATCTAGATGTTGGTGTACGTGTGGCCCAAAGTGCACACTGCTCCAGGAAC